TAATGAGATGGTAACCTTTTCCTGACTGCAGTCCCAGTCCCTTAATGTAGTTGCTTATCTGGCCAGAGACATGAAGCTTTGTAAGTATGCCCATATCTTCTCCTTTTTTCTCTTTCTTTCTTTCTTTCTTTCTTTCTTTCTTTCTTTCTTTCTTTCTTTCTTTCTTTCTTTCTTTTTCTTTCTTTTCTTATTTATTTTTATTTTATGTGTGTGAGTGTTTTGCTGGCCTGTATGCCTGTGCACCATATGTTTGCCTGGTGCCTGTGGAGGCCAGAGGAGTGTGTTGGATTCCCTAGAGTGGGAGTTACAGATGCTTGTGAGCTGCCTTGTTGGTGCTGGGAACCTACCCCAGGTCTTCTACAAGAGCAGCAGGTGCTCTTAACCACTAGGACATCGCTCTAGCCCCTTTCTTTTCTAAGTGTGATTTCCCAACATTTTTGATTTCTTCCTCTTTCTTTAAAGCTCTTCTCTCCACTGTGTGGTTGCAGGTACACCATTGTGTCTCATCCCTAGGTGGGCTACAGGCATGGATATCTTTTTTTTTTTCCCTTCTCTCCTTTGTTTTTCTCTTCTGGGTAGCTGTTGAGATTTATATCTTACCTGTCCTGAGCATTTTTCTCTTAAACTCTAATAAAATTGTCCTAAAGATTCTTTATGAGTCCAATCTAAAATTTTATTAATGAGACTAAGAATGCTAAAAGGGGACCCTATTTTCCCCTGTATGATCTGATGACCATGAAGGAATCCCCAAATTCTGGCAACATTAATGGCTACAAGGATGTTAGGTCAGGTACAGAGGAGGACAACACATGGCTATTAAGAGGGCTAAAGATGACCTAAGATAATTTGTCTCTGAACTTGAAACATTCCAAATGCTCTGCAGTCACTGAACTTTTAATCCGTTGATCAGCCTTGCAGAAGGCTCAGTTGAAGGTGTAGCTTTCTTTGCCAGGAACTTTCCTTCACAAGAGGCTCAAACCCAGAGCCTTGTCATGGTAAGCAAAATGCTCTACCACAAGCTAGATTCCCCATCCTCATTTAATACCTCTTTAATGGGTAACGTATAAGAGACTAAATCCCTAGTAAGCAAACAGGATCACTAAGAAGTAATAAGAATAGCAGACTTCCTGTTTCTTCTTGGTCTGGCAAAAGGCCCCCCTTTTTTGGTTTATTTATTTTTATTTTATGTGTATGAGTGTTATGCCTGCATGTATGTAAGTGCACCTGTGTCATGCAGTGCCCAGGGAGGACAGAAGAGGGCACTGTATCCCCTGTAACTGGTTGTTAGTTGCCATGTGGGTGCTGGGAATTGAACCTGGGAAGCCAGTGCTGTTGACTGCTGAGCCATCTCTCCAGTCCCCTGAATGTGATTCTTTATCTTTCAGTAAAAATTTGTCTGTTGCTCTCCACTGGTCTGAGATTTTTCTTGCTTTTTAATTTTTTAATTGGCTGAGAAAATGAATCCAACAATACCCCTAGACTGAAACTATGCCAATTAGAACATAAGAAACATTATATATCAGTCTTTCCTGTCAAACACTATATATAAATCTGGTTTAGGACAAGAATTCAAAAATTATATATATATATATATATATATATATATATATATATATAGTGTTTTTTGAGACAGGGTCTCCCTGTAGCCCCAGCTAGCCTTGGACCAGGCTGGCTTTGATCTCACAGAGATGCACCTGTCTCTACCTCCCCAAGAGCTAAGACTAAAGGCGTGCACCACCACAATGGGCTATAGAATTCAAGTCTTTGAATATTCCCCCTAGAAAATTTTTGTTTTTAGGGACTGTAGAGATGATTCAGCAGTTAATGAGACAGGGTCTCCCTGTAGCCCCAGCTAGCCTTGGACCAGGCTGGCTTTGATCTCACAGAGATGCACCTGTCTCTACCTCCCCAAGAGCTAAGACTAAAGGCGTGCACCACCACAATGGGCTATAGAATTCAAGTCTTTGAATATTCCCCCTAGAAAATTTTTGTTTTTAGGGACTGTAGAGATGATTCAGCAGTTAAGAGCATTGGCTGCTGATGAAGGGGACCTGGGTTCAGTTCCCAGCATCCACATGGCAGCTAACGACCATCTGGTAACTCCAGTTCCAGGGTATCTGACACCCTCTTCTAATTTCTCTGGACATTGCACAACATGGGTGTACTTACATGCATGCAGGCAATACACTCATATGCATAAAAATAAAAATATTCTTTTTTTTGTCTTTTTGAGACAGGGTCTCCCCGTAGTCCCAGCTGACTTGAACTCACTATGTAGACCAGGCTGGCCTTGAACTCACAGAGATCCACCTGCTTCTGCCTCCTGAGGTCTGGGACTAAAGGCGTGTGCCACCAAGTCCAGCAAATAATAAAGTATTCTTAAAAACATCTTGTTGGGGGCTGGAGAGATGGTTCAGTGGTTAAGAACACTGGCTGTTTTTGCTGAAGACCAGGGTGCAAATCCCAGCACCCACATGGCAGCTAACAACTGTCTGTAACTCCAGTTCCAGGGGATCCGACAGCCTCTTCTGTCCTCCTTGGGCATTCCACAACATGGGTGCACTTACCTTCATGCAGGCAATACACACATACACATAAAAACATCTTGTTAAGCCGGGCATGGTGGTGCATGCCTTTAATTCCAGCACTCTTTTTCTTCATTTTCCTAGTACTGACTGTTTTAAAACTAGTCAACCATTGGCCAGGTCTGATGGCACATGCCTTTAATCTCAGTACTTGGGAGGTAGACTTAAGCAGATCTCTCTTTGTGAGTTCAAGCTATCCTGGTCTACATAGTGAGACCCTGTCTCAGAAAACCTAAAAGGAAGAAAAGAAAAACTAGCAAACAGGGGAAGAGTTTTAGGAGGGACCCCAGCTGAAGGGTAAAAGACACAGTACTTAAGGATAAAAATGAATCAGACTTCTGTGCTTGCTCTAACTAATGCGACACACCCTTTTGCAAAAGATAAAGGCTTCCTTGCTGTGCTAGATAGCTTTAGTGTCAACTTGACACACCTATGTTGAGGGAGCCTCATTTGGGGAATTTCCTCCATGGACTGGCCTGTGGGGCATCTTCTTGATCATCGAGTTATGTGGGAGGGCCTAGCCCACTACAGGTTGTGCCACCCCCGGGGCAGGTGGGCCTATGTTGTATAAGAAAGCAGGTTGAGGCTGGGCGTGGTGGACGTCTTTAATCCCAGCACTCTGGAGGCAGAGGTAAGCAAATCGAGTTCAAGACCAGCCTGGTCTATGTAGTGAGTACCAGGCCAGCTGGGGCTACAGGGAGACCCTGTGCCGGTGCCAGCCGGCCAAAACGGACAGTACCTGAAAGGGGGAGTGAGGATTGAAAGAAAGAAAAGGAGACAGAAAAGATGTTTGGGAGGACTGACAGTGAATACTGCAGCTCCGGTTTATATCAGCTCTGCCTTTTTATACAGAAGAACTCAATTAGTTTACAACTGCTGTATTTCCCTACCTGTATCTGAGGGTCAAGGAGCAGTCAGATCAAAGGCTTCTTTGATCCTTTTGTTTACCACTATTGCCTCCAGGTCAGGTATTGTGAGGCTCTCCAGAAACACCTTCCTCCTGAATGGGCAGGTTAAGTACTGGTTTGCATGACACAAACTCAGTAAACAAGGCTGCCACAGCTCAATGATTAGCAGCTCCCGACAACCCTGTCTCAAAAAGACCAAAAACAGAGAAAGGTTGAACTGGGGCCAGAAGACCAAGCCAGTAAGCAGCTTTCCTCCAGCTCCTGCCTCCAGTTCCTGCCCTGGGTTTCTACCTTGGGCTCCCTCAGAGATGAACTGTGACCGGGGAGATGTAAGACAAATAAACCCTTTCCTCCCCAGGTTGGTAGTGGTCAGAGTGTTTTGTCACAGCAATGGAGAAACAAAATAGAACAACTTACCTAGTTGCTTTCACTGCATCTGAATGGTCTTTATTTTTTGGTAGTTTTGAGACAGGGGCTTCCTGTAGCCACAGCTGGCCTGGAACTCACTATGTAGACGGACTGGCTTCAGTCTCACAGAGCTCTACCTGCCTCTGCCTCCTGAGTGCTGGGATTAAAGAAGTGGGCCACCATGCCCTGCAATGATCAAGTGTCTTTTTGCATGTTATCAGTGGGGTCCTTGGACCTCAGATTTTCTTAAAAAATTTTTTTTTCATTATTTCTATTTTTTGTGTATGAGTGTATTGCCTACATGTATGTAAATGCACCCCAGTGCAATGCCCACGGAAGTCAGAAGGCATGGGACCCCTGCCTCTCGCAACAGGAGTTAGGAACAGTTGTTAGCTGTCATATAGATGCTGGGAACTGAACCCAGGTCCTCTGTAAAAGCAGCCAGTGCTTTTTACCCTGAGCCATTTCTCCTGCCCCTCAGATTAAAAAAAAATTATTTTTATTTTATGTGTATGTGTGTATTGCCTGCATGTAGGTAAGTGCACCTGTGTTGTGCAATGCCTGTGGAGGACAAAAGAGGCTGTCAGATCCCCTGGAACTGGAGTTACGGACAACAGTTAGCTGCCATGTGGGTGCTGGGATTTGAACGCGGGTCTTCGAGCCAGAACATCCACTGTTCTTAACCACTGAGCCCTCTCTCCAGACCCTCTGATTTTATTTCTAACAGTAATTAACACATGTGTGTATGGATTCGAGTATCGGGACAACTTTGAAATCAAATATGTATTACGAGAAAAAGTTCCATTTTCTTCTATCTCATTGGTTGAATTAAAATATCACTTCACACTATATAAATTGTGCTCCTTCTGGGCGAATAGGCTAGAATCATTTCCCCAAAGCCGATTTTAGGACTTTGAAAATGACGTCCATGAGAATAAAGAATTTAATTTGGCCGTCTGGGTTTTATCTTTTTCACACCACTCTCCCCTCTGTCCTTCCACAAGGTCCTTTCATAAGTAGGTCCTAAGCAGGGAGGTGGCGGATCCTGGGCTGCCCGGAAGCCAATGAGCGGGGCAGGTTGTTAGCTGGTGGTTTATTCTGCGCACGCGTAGGCTCCAAGGTGGCGGGGGTTCCCGCTTTAGTGGGCGGGGCCGCGCTACACGCCGCCGAGGGGCCCAAGTAGACTGGATTCAGGTTTTTGCGTCCTCAGCTGCCCATACATCGCGTGGCGGGATGCTGCTGCTGGCGGTGGGCGGCCGGTGGGCGGCGGGACTGCGGCTAGGCCGCGAGAGGACGGCGTGGTGTGCGGCTGCCGTGTTCCGAGGCCCGCGGACCGCTGTCTCGCGGGCGTTCTGCAGCAGGCCCCTGCAGCGAGCCGGGCTCCTTCTCCCGCGTCCCGCGCGATCTCAGGTCGGCCGAACTTGGGCAGTGGGCTTGGGTGCCGTGGAGCGGGCGCAGCGTGGGGCCTGGGGCCCGGGGGAGCCTCCGCGGCCACCCGGGGCGAACTGCGGCGAGCTCGAGGGCGAAGGAGCCCTCCCTGGGGCTCGCTGGAGCAGCCAGCCTCGGCCTTCTCCGCAGTGTGGGCTGGTAGTCCCTGGAGGAAACCACCTGCCTGGGAAAGGAGAGTCTCCTTTCCGGGGGTGGGTCAAGTCTAGCTGTTAGTGATGACAAATCTGAGTTCAGTTCCTTTTTTACGTGGAGCAGAAGCTCCGAAGGGTTCGTCTGGATGCAGCACCCAAAGACAGAGCCGGAAGAAACCCGTGTAATCTCTGAGTTACATTTTTTTTTTTCCTTCATTTGTCTCTATTTTGAGGAAGTCCTGTGATCCCAGCGGGAAAGGTGGTGTATGGATGTTAATCCTTTCATTTGAATACGAAGAAACGTCCTAGTTCTGCATTATAAAGTGTCAGAAGTAATAATCCTAGTTGAAACTATAAATGTCCTTAGTGTGAAATTGGAATCTTAAATTTCACTATAAAGGCATGCTTTTTACCTTTTTAAGTGTGGGGACTGTGAAATTTCATTTTCAGGTAAGTGGGGAACTCTTCCTGTTTCCATGAAATTTCAAGCAAATTTTTTTCTTTTTGTTTTTTAAAAAAAATTTTACATGTATGACTATTTTTCAGCATGCAAGTGCATATTGTGCTAGGAGTTAAACCTGGGCCCTCTCAAAGAACAGCAAGTGTTCTTAATCACTGAGACATCTCTCCAGCCCCAAAAGGTTTTTGTTATTTTTAAATTTTTTAATTTAAGTGTATGAGTGTATTGCCTGTATGTATGTAAGTGCACCCATGTCGTGCAATGCCTAGGATGTCAGAAGAGGGCATCAGATCCCTTGGAACTGGCGTTACTGACAGTTGTTAACCACTATGTGGGTGCTGGCAGTTGAATCTGGGTCCTCTGCAAGATCAGCCAGTGCTCTTAGCCATTGAACCATCTCTCCAGCCCCCATTTCTTGTTTTTTTCTTTTTCTTTTTTTTTTTTTTTTAAAAAGGCAGTGTATGGTGATACTCTTAAAATCCCAGTGTTTAGAGACCCCTATCTTCAAAACAAAAAAACAGGGTGAAAGGTATTTATAAGGTCTGCAGGGAAATAGTTGCTGTCTCCTTTATGAAAAGAATGGAAAGCTAGGTGTGGTGGCTCCTGCCTTTAATCCCAGCACTGGGGAGGCAGAGGCAGGCAGATCTCTGTGAGTTCAAGGCCAGCCTGGTCTACATAGTGAGTTCCAGGCCAGCTGGGGGTACAGGAGATCCTGTCCCAAAAAGACCAAAGAAAAAGTGGAAGAGCCCCCCCCCCCCCGCAAATAAAAGTGAAAAAGTTAAATATAGCCTCAGTTTGAAGTGTTTTGTTTAGATTGTTGTGTTAAAATTTTTATTGTGTGTGTTTTCCTGCAGGTATGTAAGTGCACCCATGTTGTGTGTTGGCCACGGAGGCCAAACAAGGGCATTGGAGCCCCAGGAACTGGAGTCACGTGTAATTGTAAGCTGCCATGTGGGTGCTGGGAATTGAACCAGGGTCTTGGTGCAAGAGCAACCTTTTTAGTGCTCTTAACTGCTGAGCCATCTCTTCAACCCCTGTATTTTAAGTTATTTGTACATGTGTAGTGTATGTATGTGTGTCTGTGTACATGCATGTGGAGACCAGAGATCAACATTGTGATGTTGAGTGTCTTCCTTTATTCTCAACCTTATTTACCTTTTTATTTGTTTTTTTTGAGCATTTTTGTTTTGTTTTGTTTTGTTGTTGTTTTCAATCAGGGTCTCGAAAACCTAAGAGATCTGCTGGCCACTGCTTCTTAAGTGCTCTGCCTCATCCTTATTTTTAAGAGACAGAGTCTATCACTGAACCCAGAATTCTCCAATTGACTATACTGCCTGCCCATCTAGTCCTAGGGATTCTTTGGATTATTTGAGAAAATTATTTATGTCACCTAGTAACAAGTTCTCTTCATTATATTTTTTTTTTGTGTGTGTGTGTTTTGAAAAAAATATGGAACGCTTAATGAATTTGCGTGTCATTCTTGCGCAGGGGCCATGCTAATCTTCTCTGTATCATTCCAATTTTAGTGTATGTGCTGCTGAAGCGAGCACCTGTTCATTATATTTTTAAACATAAACTTTAGGTCTGGAGCAATGGCCCAGCAGTTAAGAGCACTGGCTGCTCTTACAGATGACCTTGTTTAGGTTCCCAGCACCCACATAGTGCCTCATAACTGTCTAAACTCCAGTTCCAGGGGATCTGACAATCTCTTCTGGGTTTCTTGGGCACCAGGCGTGCATGTGGTACACATATATATGAGGTAAAACACTTGTATTTATTTACATACATAAATCTTAAAATTTATTGAAGAATTAAGATTTGTTCAAAATACAAGTTACTGTGTAGTCATAATGGTTTCTTGTTTCAACAGATACCTATTTGTTGGGAAAGATGTGTTCGATGCTTATATACACAACTTGACAAACCAGAAGATGGAAGACTGATATATACTGGGAATCTGGCCCGTTCTGTATTTGGTGGGTAATTAAAAGTTAGGGTATTTCCTTATTTGTTTTTTCTTTTAAACGTAATAAATATTTTTGGGGGGTTGGAGAGATGACTTAATGGTTAAGAGTACTTACTGCTCTTCCAGAGGACCTGAGTTTGATTCCCAGCACCCACAGGGCAGCTAACAACTATAACTCTAGTTTCAGGGGAATCCAGCTCCCTCTTCTGACCTCCTTGGGCATCGCATGACACGGGTACACTTACATACATGCAGGCAATACATTCATACGCATAAAAGTAAAAAAATATTTAAAAATATAATAAACATTTTTACACGTTACCTATGGTATTAGCATCTCTTAATTTTAACACATAAGGAAAACTTTTTTTTTTCCTTGAAGCTTGTTGGTACCATTTAGAGGTTGAGACTTGTGTTTTTGAGAGATTTTACAAGATGTTTGAAGGCTATATTACAGTTTTATAATCTTAAAGCTGGACGTTGAAGTTTCCTTCCATTCTTCGGTCACTTGGAATATTTAACAGAAAATTAAAATGTTTGCATATTTGAGGAAAAGTGGAAGTATATTGTTATGATTTGAACTATCCCCCGCATGCTCGTGTGTTAAATTAAGCCTAGATCTCTAGCTGGTAGCATTATTCTGGGAGGCTCTGGGAATCGTAAGAGAAGGGACCTTGCTCTAGGAAGTAGGTCACTGGGGGTGAGTTCTTGGGGGCAGGGCTGTCTTGCCTGGCTTCTTTCAGACCTGTTTCTGCTTCTTGTCTACCATGAAGAAGGTCTTCCACTATACCTACTTTTTGCTGTGATGTTTTGCCCAAGTGCATGGGGCCAAGCAACCGAGGCCTGAAATCTCTGAAATCAAGAGTCAAAGTAACTCCTTTTAAAGTTGCATTTTTCCAGGATTTGGTCACAGCAATAGAAAAGCTATGACCAAAAGCCTGACTAATACAAATATTTCTTAAAAGTGATTGTTTTGGGGGAATAGAATAGGGGAACTTTCTGTTTTACTTTTTGTGGTTTGTTTTTCAGACAGGGTATTGCAGGCTAGTCTTGAACTGGCAATACTGCCTTAGTGTCCTAGTTTGTTTCTTCATTGTTGTGACAAAACACTCTGACCACTACCAACTTGGGGAGGAAAGGCTTTATTCAGCTTACATCTCTCAGGTCACAGTATTATCAGGGAGCCCAAGGTAGGAACTCAGGGCAGGAACCTGGAGGCAGGAGCTGGAGCACAGGCCATGGAGGAATGCTGCTTACTGGCTTGCCCCCATGGCCCCTGCTCAGCCTGCTTTCTTATGCAACACAAACCCACTTGCCCAGGGGTGGCACCACCCACAGTGGGCTGGGCCCTCCCTCCAACATCACTCAACAGTCAAGAAGGTGCCCCATGGACATGGCCACAGGCCAGTCCAATGAAGGCAATTCCCCAATTGAGGCTCCCTTAACCCAGGTGTGTCAAGTTGATACTAAAGCTATCCAGCACACTTAGCCCCCCCATGCTGTATTCACAGACTTGTGTTACTATATCTGGCTTTAATTTTACTTTATATTTCTAAATTTGACATTTAATTGAGCATAGGGCTGGCAGTGTAGTTCAGTGATAGAACAGTTGCCTAGAACTTGCAGTCCCTGGGTTTAGTTCTGAGCATTGGGAAAAATATATAATGCTTTTATATTTCTTTTTATTTTACTTATTTTTCATTAGTTTTTTTTCTTTTTTTTATTTGTTTTTAGTGAATTTTGTGTATTTCATACAGAACATCTCAAACATTCTTTTTTTCATTTTTTTTTTTTTTTCCCGGTCTTTTTGAGACAGGGTCTCCCTGTAGCCCCAGCTATTCTGGAACTCACTCTGTAGACCAAACTGGCCTTGAACTCACAGAGATCCACCTGCCTCTGCCTCCCGAGTGCTGGGATTAAAGGTGTATGCCACCATGCCCAGTGACATTCTTATACCCTTGTCCCCACTGGCCCCCTCCCACAGTTCTCCCATTGGAGTCCATATACTCTGTCATTCCTATTAAGGCCCACTATGTCAAGTCCGTGTCCACAGATGTTCCCCAGTGCAACTCTGTCCACTGAGATCTCAGCTTATCTAGAGTCTCTTGTTTTAGGAAGATCAGCTCTTCTTCACCTAGCAACAGTTGCCATCAAAGGCTATGGCAATAGCCTGAGTAATTTTGGGAGTCTCTTGGACTACCCTGGCCAACAACTCAAAGGAAGATTTCTCCTGTCTGGCACTGTTTCTTGTTATGTAGCCTTTAGCTATACACATGGACCTATGTAGAGATAACGTACGTGTAATTTGTCATTAGGTTATTGCACTAATATGATTCCCTCTGGCTTTTTAAAACTAGGCATTGTTTATCTCTCCTCTCTCTCTACTGTCAAATCCTTCCACCACAATTTCCCCATTTAAAGTGTCCCCATTTTCCCCATTTCTTCCTTGATAATACCAGTCTCCTATGGTCCCACCTCTCTTGAGCTCCTTTTTTTACCTTTATCCCTTAGGTTCCTTGTACAACCTTCCCTCCCCCCTCCCATTTTAATAGCCCCATTTTTTATCCATTTCTCCCTTAGTGACACTTGTTCCCTACTGTTCTCTCTCAGGTTCTTTCCTTTTACCTCCCTGGCCTTGAACTCACGAATCTGCCTGCCTCTGCTTCTTGAGTGCTGGAGTTAAAGGCCTGCACTACCGCACCCAGATAATTTTTTATTATTTTTATTTTCTGTGTATGAGTATATTGCTTTCATGTGTATAAGTGCACCCATGTTGTGCAATGCCCGAGGAGGTCAGAAGAGAGTGTCAGATCCCCTGGAACTAGAGTTACTGACAGTTGTTAGCTGCCATGTGGGTGCTGGGACTCAAACCCAGGTTTTCTGCAGGAGCAGCTGGTGCTCTTAACTGCTGAGCCGTCCCCAATGCTTTTATGGTTCCAAAATATGTAAGTTGTAAATTTTTGTCGGGTCATCTTAGAATTTGTAAAAGACATTTATGTAATGATTTTTCCAGGTGGTAGAGGGTTAGTGTGGAGAAGGAAAAGACAGTGTATTAAATAGGTTCACGTTTAAAGCATTTTCCTTACTTTGGTTATGGTTTATTTAGTATTTAGTAAAGGTCAGAAGAACTTAGTGAGGTTATGTGATTTGTTCTAAGTTCCCAGAAGTTACATTTTATTTTAATAACATAAAAGTATAATCAGAAATATTTGGAAGATTGCTTTATCACCAAATATGTCCATAAGATTTCAGTACTTACATTTGGATTTGATCACATTGGTGTGAAATGTTTCTGTAACATTGTTATGGAAACTGGTTTGATTCTTAAGTGTATGGCATTAACTTATGCTTAAAATACAGTTTTAGCTATTTACACTTGGAATAAAGACTGCTTATTCTAGTAACTATAAAATTCCCATTTAGTGGTTATATTAATCAGTTTGAGGTGGTTAGAAATTTCTTCACAAGTCATTACAAGAGTTAAAATAGGGGACTGGAGAGATGGCTCAGCAGTTAAGGTACTGATGCCTCTAGCAGAGCACTGGGGTTCGATTCCAAGCCCCACATGGCAGCTAATAACCATCCATAACTCCAGTTTCAGGGGAATTTGATGTGTTCTTCTGACCTTCACAGGCACTGCATGACATAGGTGTACTTACATACATTTAGGCAATACACTCATAAACAGGAAAAAAAAAATAGTTGAAATATAGAAAGTTTGTTGATGGCCAGGCATGGTGGCACATGTCTTTAATCCCAGGACTTGGGAGGCAGAGGCAGGCAGATCTTTTTGAGTTTGAGGCCGGCCTGGTCTATATAGTGAGTTCTAGGACAGCTGGAGCTACAGGGAAACCCTGTCTCAAAAAAAAAGTTTGTTGATTTATGTTTATTCTCACCTGACTCTTCCTGTAAAAGAGAAAATAGGGATTAATTTTTGTATCAATAGGTTATATAAGGTTTGTGGGAAGACTATAATTATGGTATTAAACTTCTACAATTAAAACTTGTAGAGGAGTTTAATGTTTAAATTCTAATAGTTAATAGAAAGTCATTGAGTCAGGGATTAGTATTATTTTCCATGGAATATAATACTCAGGGAAAAACATGAAGATAATTTTATCGTTCTTGGAGGTTCTCCAAACTACCACGTGGGTAGACATAGCTGTTTAATTCAGCAACATATAAATACAGGTACCATATTTGAAAGGTATTGTGTTGAGGCATTATGTTAGGGATACTGCTTAAACGGTGTTGCAGAATCTTAAAGTCTGGTAGGAGAGAAAGGATGAATATCCCATAATAATCATATTTGCAATATTAGCGATTGATATGAGTTCAGAGGCAGATTCTATTTTTCAGGTTGAGGAAAGGGGCAAAACAGAAAGCTGCATCAAGATGCCATGTCGGGCTGGAGAAATGGCTCAGTGGTTAAGATCACTGTCTGCTCTTGCAGAGGACCCTGCTCTTTCCCAGCACCCACATGGAGGCTAACAACCACCCAAACTCCACTTCCAGGGACATCTGATGCCCTCTTCTGGCCTATTTGGGCATTGCATGCATGTAGTGCACTTACATACATGCTGGCAAAACTCATAAAATTAAAAAAATAATAAATAAATTTATTTTTAAAAAAGCTGGTGGTGGTGCACACACATTTACATAATGAGTTCCAGGATACCTGGTACTACAGGGAGACCCTGTCTCAAAAAGATACCCCCCCCCCGAAAAAAAAAATGGCAGTTCAGAGGCTGGAAAGATGGCTCAGTGGTTAAGGGTGCTGGTTCAGCTTGCTGAGGACTTCAGTTTAGTTCCTAGCACCCATTTCAGGTGGCTGAAACAACTGCCTGCAGCTCCAGTTTCAAGGGATCTTACACCATCTCCCCTCCTTGGGCACCTGCATACATGTGGTACACACTCACACAAATGCATACACAGTGAAAAAAAATGCCAGACAGGGTGGCGTATGCCTTTAACTCCAGCACTCGGGAGGCCACCCTGGTCTACATAGTG